AAATAAAAATACAAAACAAAGCACAAACAACTGGCCAAAAGTCTGAAAGTTTTGAGTATTGAAAAATATAAATCGGAGGCGCTGAACAAACTTCCCGAGGAATTTTACGCAATAGTTCGTAAGAAAGACGGATAAGATAACGAGCGTGATATCTTTCGTGTACTGATTATTGTTGTCGACCGATACCTAATAGACAAAGAGAACAAAAACCTGATTGTTCGTGACGGTGAGTTAAAAAGTTTGAACCAAATTCTTGGGGAAAACCCCGACTACTCCAGCACAACGCAAAGGCAAGCGGCCGAATCAGTGAGCTATGACACGAAAAAAAAACCACCTAGAGAGGAAAACCGAGTCATATTTTTGCTAGAATATTATTAACAAGCAATCGCATGATTTTCCTCGTGCAATTCTGAATAAATCAGCATTTGTAAATTTTTCAAAAACTGCAAATCACACTCGCTCAACAGGCTTGTAAAATATATTCACATTTCAAAAATTTTCTGGTGTTGTTTTATCCTTAATAATATACACGGAAAAATTACTCAATTCTGATTGGTTAAGATAAATGCAGTTTTTAGGTACTTCAGTGCTGAAGAGAGTTAATTCAGTGCAGAGGGGGTTAATTCAGTGCAAAGAAAGTAAAAAATCAGACATTTTGATCGGTCAATAATCAAAGAAACTCACAGATAGCCCATCAAATGCGAGCCTTGGACGTCGCGACAAAATTTGAAAATTTGAAAATTTGCGAGCGAAACAATGGCCGGCGTTTTAAGTAGGTTTCCTTTCGCCACCGCCGCTGAAAAACAGCTCAAACAACAAAAACACTGTAAAAAGCACTCCTTTTTGGTTGTCGGTTTGGAAAAAGTGGTGTTTCGAGAGGGGAATTGCCAAGGAAATCGCAAATTACGAGCCGACCCAGCTTAACACTTTGCTCAAGCAATCCAACGCCGAAATTTAAAACAAACATGGTTAAACCTCGGAAACGACGATTCCATTTCATCGAAAGTGATTCGGACACAGACTGAACAATTCCTTGAACTGTTTAGCCGGACTTTGAACTAACGAAGATGTGAAGGATGTGAAGATGTGAAGATATCATTGCATATTATTGTTTTGATCGTACGCAGTTGGTTTGACCGAACGCACGGTTTGAATAAATTATTTTTGCACTTAATGCCCGCGCTTTGCTTATGCTTAATTATGACAAGCATCTCGTATTTTTCCATGTATATTATTAACACGTAATCACATGATTTTCTCGTGCAATTTGGAATAAACAAGCACTTGTTAATCTTTTCAAAGACCACAAATTGCACTCGCCCTACGGGCTCGTGCAATTTTGCTAGTCTTTAAAAAAAATTTACTCGTGCTCATTTATTCCAAATTGCACTCGAAATCAGGTGACTACCTATAAAAATTGTACTCGAAATCATATGATTACCAGCACTAAACGACCCATTTCGGGAGCGGATCCAGGAATTTGTGGTACGGGAGGAACTTTACGCTGGAGATTAAGTAAGGCGTGAGTACACTTATGGGAGAGAAAGCATCCTGTCATCTCCACTTCAATAAGAATTTTAGCTTTTTTCCATCTCTTTCTTTCGACGAGCCCGACCAGGTAAATACTGTAAGACGTACTGCAGTTTTTTGGTGCAACTAACCTTTGTAGGGAATCTATTTCAACTATTAAATCTCTTCACTCCCCGTATGAGTAACAAAAAAATAATAAAAAAT